ACACCAAGGTTTCTCATAATCTTGATTGGCTTAAGATATAAACAGGAGATTTTGAAGTTGATAATGTAATGGGTCACCTGGTGGGAGTGACAGGTATAGTTGGGTACCTCTGCCATAGTAGTGGTTTGAAAATTCATGCAAGTGATAATTGGACCCATTGAGGTGGTGTATATTTAAAAAGAAGGGGGTCCAGTAGTGATCCTTTGGGGCACCCCTGTGGGGAGGGGATGGGATAAGCGATGTTTTGTCCTTGCCATGATTCATTGAAGGATTACCCAGTTGAAACAGGAATTAGATTTTCATTAAAGATTAAAAGTATGATGTTAGTGTCAAGCTCGATATGATCATTTCTTTTTTTAACTATGTTGTTATGAGCTTTGCCAAAACCTGCCTGATGTCTTTCATCATTGTCACTGTTTATGGTTTAATTGCAAATATTTTTATTATTTGTTTCTCTGTCTCATTCATTGTCTCCCTCTCTGTTTCATTTCATAAGCGTTGGTGTGAGGGATAAACAAGAAGTTTAACGTTTGAACTAAATACTTATACATTTTCAAATTCACCAACATTTTCCTCTAATTCTTTTCAGACCCTGGACAATATTTGTACATAATTAAACCAATTGCAAAGGTCAGTGTGTGCAGAGCCTCTTGTTTATATATTTGTATTATTTGCTTAATATAGCAGTAGATTGTATGATTCTTTAATAAAGACAAAGAATATTTCCACGTATCTAATGAAGACTATTCATGTAAATAGTATTTTAAGTTTTTAAAAATCAGTCAAGCACAGAAAAACTATATGAAACAATTAAAAATCTCAATTCCTTAATGAACTATATCATGAATGATTGAAAGAGTCAGTGTTCCAGCAGTGAGGAGGACCACAGCATGATATGTTGAGGACAGCTACAGTTCACTGACTCTGTGTGTTTGCATATGTGTCCTGCCTCTCTGCTCCCAGCCGTTAAGAGGCAGTGTTGATCAGTGGCTGTCCAGGCCTTTCAGAGCCACTGACCAGCGCCGCAGCACAATGATGATGTCTCTGACTCTACTGCTGGCCACCCTGGGGCTCCTTGTTCAGGGTGAGACTCTCTTGTGAAAACTTTGCTTCAGGATGCAACCAGGTTCACCACAATGATGTTCTGCTGTGATGGAGAAACATTGAAACAAGCAGCATTGACCTTCTTCCATCTGTTCTCCATGTTAAAGAAATCATCCTCTTCTGTTTGGATGTTGATCATCTTTCTCCAAGCTGGATTTGTCTCAATAAACCCTTCTCCTCTTCTTCATGTTTTCCAGGTTCATCAGGACAACTCATCCTGACTCAGTCTCCTGGATCTCAGTCTGTTGTTCCAGGACAGCATGTCTCTATCAGATGTCAACCAGTTTACAAACGTGTTGAGCCTAATGGTAAGAAGTGGCTCCACTGGTACCTTCAGAAACCTGGAGAAGCTCCTAAACTCCTGATTTATTTAGCTAACGGCCGTCAGTCTGGAGTTTCAGAACGTTTTAGTGGGATAGCATCTAGTGGGTCTGACTACACTCTGACCATCAGTGGAGTTCAGGCTGAAGATTCAGGAGTTTACTACTGTCAGAGTCATAAGTGGTTGAGTAACCAGCTTGTGTTCACACAGTGAAAAAGCGTCGTACAAAAACCTCCCTCAGTCAGACTGAACAGAAACTGAACTGACTGCTGCAGCTGGAAGCTACTGCAGAGACTGATACAGTTCACTGAGGACACACACACACACACACACACACACACACACACACACACACATAACATACTATGTACTAGGAAGCAAGTTCAACATACTCAGGTTAACTCTCCGTTATCTATTAATATATTCCAATAAACGAATGAGTTGTATAAATATATTCCTCAGTGTGAGGTCTCTTTACAAGAGAACTTGATATTGAATATCAAAAATTTGACATTAATTTTGAAAGACAGCAATTAAAATAAGTCAAACTGGAGGTGGAGAAAATGGAGCATGAAAAGAAGGTAATTCAGTCATGTAACTCCTTTACAGACATGGGAAAGAAGTAACTAAAATGTATTTTCTTTTTGTTAACAGGTACAGGAGAAAAAACACAGTCAAATAAAGACTTGTACATTAAGATACAAAGGCCTGTTCTTTTTCTTTCTTTGGCAACAGGTGTGAAGGAAATGCCTTTGTTTCTTAAGAACAACTCAAAAGACAATGGCCTCTGTTCCTCATGTTAAAAGAAAATGCTGCCGTTTCTCATGAAGAAAAAAGCCCTGCAGGTGAGGTGGTCCAGGGTGATGGGGTCCACCACATCAGGGGGCTGCTGACTCACAGGAGGAGCCCTCTCCCTCCTTACTGTGGAGCACAACACACGCTACAATGATTTTACATGCTGGTTCTGGAGCTACTCTGAGCCCACGCAGGCATGTGAATCTGGTCTTCAGTAATCCGAATGTCATTTCTATCCTGACCCCTGGTTTTGGTAAGGGCCACATTGAATCTATTTCATGGCCCTGCATCAGGGTCAGGTTAGGGTGTCATTAAAAAAGACTGGCAGGCGTATCCTTTGTCCCCAAGCAGCACTCCACTGAACAGCCCTGAAGATGAAAAAGGACATTACCGTGATCAGTATCAAAACAAGCAGTTTAAAATAGAGGATAACTCACATTAATATTCAGTGCACAGTTTCCCTCCCCTGCTCCAATCTGTGGCACAATGCTGACTCCCTGAAGATCCAGGAGTCATGGACTGAACCAGGCCACTTTGCCTCAATGCTGCTGACCATGCAGTGATGGGCACAAGTCATCTACAAAAGCATGTGAGGTTAACAGTACCTCCACAGGATAAAAACATTAAAGTCAATGTAGCATCAATGTGCAAAAGGACTCTGGTTTAGAGGAAGATCCTCAGTCAGTGTGTCCACACAATGAGTGTCCTTATTTATCAGATAGTTACTGTATTTCCACCCAAATGGGAAGTTTTGTGTTACAACAGCTATACATATGCTCATACATATACATATATACATACATTCACATAAACATTTACAGAGTTCCATACTAAATGAAAATAAGAATAACAACAGAGTAGAATGAAATCTCAAAGTTAAGGCAAGATATTGCTGATAATATAGGATATATACGTTTTACCTGAACATTGAGGCTGTGGAACGACTTGTGATTCACATAATTGGCTTCATTGTCACCCAGAAGTGAAGAAATGGGAATGTGGGTATAATCTATAGCACCTATTTCTGTGGGGAATCCACTGAAAGGAGCTGCATTTAATACACAACAGCATACGGATGAGAGTCTGCATTGTTCATGGATCAAATAGTCACATGAGTTAATGTCTACCTGCTATATTATAAAAGCCCTCTTTTATGGACAGCATGGGCAAGTGTCCAGGGAACACACCAAAGGCATTCAGCAGGTCTGTAAGAGCACGTGCCACCTCATGTGTTGCCCTACAGACTGTGTTCTTGCTGAGGTTTTCTGCATCACCCACAGCATACATGAAGGTACTGGAGGCGAAATGACGCAAGGCAAAGCATACAGTCTGAGGGACTGTGAGTGCATTGCTTATATGTAATGCACTGGTGATGCACGTCTCAAGAAGCTAACAAATATAAGTCAAACCCTCTGATGAGAAGTTTCTCTCACAGATGTAGTCATCAGGAAATGCAAAAGGATTTTGATGGTCCCTAAACGCCCTCCTGTGAAACCCTCTCACAATCCATGCACCAAGTTCTACGGGATCCTCCTCAAACGGTGATGCCATGTTTCAAGAGAATTGATTGGTCAGTGGACGCGGCTTTTATACGCCTACCTGTTACCTCAGACTGTTATCTCAAACTTTACCTGCTCCGGAGCAGGTCAGAGGTTCAGCGTAAGTTACCATGGTGATTTACCCCGGTAGGTGAACTACAGTCGTACGACTGAAAACCCAGAGTTAAACCTGAAGTTACCTCGCTAACCTCAAATCCTGTTTCGTAGTACAGGCCTCATGTAGGAGGAGGACAAAGTCAAGGTACACAGCACCTACAATTTCCACACTTTTACTCCCCTTGGCTCCAGTGGACCCAAACACCACGTATGTCATTTACATGTATAGGGGGGGTACAGAGTGCGGCCATTGAAAATGTTTTCTTTTATATGTTCCTCACAGAAAATAAGCCAAGGCCAATGAGTCTGACGTTAAAAAATAATTGATGGCATTTTTCTTTTAATGAACATTGAAAATGGGTCCCACATAACCAAACACACACATTTGTTGACTCTATACATTATAATTAAATACATGTTAATTTCCTTCATGTAGAATTACCTGATATTTCACTGTAAATATTTTAGTCATGTTGTGTGTTTTGTATTCAAAAGAACTGAAGCATTTTTAATTATTGAAATCAAAAAACATTCATGAAGAATTTAATAGAGTAACGACTTAAATCTTTGCTTTTCTCATCTGATTCATTTTTCTTTGTGGTTGAGCTCTTCAGCAGAATTCATATGTAAATATTTCCAAGGTTTAAACGAAAGATCACTCTCATTTTATTTCTCTACATGCTGATGACATGTTGCTTTTTCTTTCAGATCCAGAAAAGATTTTTTCTTGTTTTATTTGAAGGATTTTGCAGATTGTTTGGACACAGCTAAAAGAATAAGAATGTCAGAGTAGTTACCATGGAAACACTTCAGTAATAAGAGATGACTGGATGATTCTTCATTGAAATGTTCCTACCATGGGTTTAGTTACAGTTTTGTATTATTGGAGATTATTTACAGTCATGAAGGAGTTCATATTGACTCTGATCACAAATTAAAGACTTGTACTGCTTCAATAACTGGTTTGTACTAATCAATCAATAATGAGGAACTATGACTAAGTTTATATACTCTATGAATATACAGCATATATGGACATATGTTATGTAATCTAACATTTTCTCTATAAATTCGTTAGACAGACACTTTGACAACAAGTGATTTGATGATCAGATTTTT